TTTCTTTTTGCTTATGTGGTGCTGAGGAATCGAACCCAGGGCCTCATGCATGCAAGGCAAGCACTCTACCACTGAGCCACCTTCCCAGCCCCTCACATATTATTTTTCTATTGACTGCAGTGGCTCATTTCTGTAATCATATCTGCAAGGGTGGCATAGATTGGTATGATGGAGGTTCAAAGCGGACCTAGAGAAACAGTTTCAAGAACCCCATCTCAACTAAGAAAAGCTTGGTATGGTGGGTCATATCTGTCATCACAGTTATGTGAGAAGTATAAATAAGAGGATAACTTAGTTGAATTTTGGTGTATGCCTGCCAAAGTATAAATGTTAGCGTCTACTGGGAAAAAAGTAAATCTTTTGGAGAGTATTTTTACAGCTTTTTTTGGGGGGTCTGATCGTGGGGCCGGAACTCTGGGCCTGGGGGCTGTCCCTCAGCTCTTCAGCCCAAGGCTAGCACTCTACCACTTGGGCTACAGCACCACTTCCAGCTTTTTTTCTTTTTGCTTATGCAGTGCTGAGGAATCAAACCCAGGACCTCATGCATACAAGGCAAGCACTCTACCATTGAGCCACCTTCCCAGCCCTTTTACAGCTTTTTAACAATTTAACATTTTTAACAACTATGTGTAGGCAATAATTGCATTTAGCCTCCTAAAATCCAGAATTAAGCAATATAGTAGTGTCATTTCTACGTGATTTGGAGTATTTTAAAATACACTTCAGAGAATGTGTGTGGTCCTGTGTTCAAATGACTATAAGCATTCCGACCTCCATTGACATTCAAAATGACAAAAACATATTTTATAAATACTGTGCATAATGATTAGAATATTAGATTTGAGCCAATCTAATAATTGGATTATTGTAACCCAAATGTATCATTCACAGAGTATATTCACAGAGTATATTCACAGAGTATGCAGGATGATCAGGACTCATCTATTCATGTAGAAATATTTAGTATTCTGGAGTATATCTTTGTAAAGTCAAAGGTACTTTCCTTGCTGTATTTCAAGTTTTCTCTTTTCCCCTCTTTGCTTCTTATTGTTTCACTTGAATTATATTAACTACTTCTTATATTTTGAGCATGGCAAGACTTAATATAAGGCTTCTAGTACTCCCCATTCTCTCTCTCTTATTTTGGCTGAGATCAGAACTTGGTACCTGACGCTTTTGCTCATTGGCTTGTGCCCTACCAACCGAGCCCCGCCTCCAACCTTAATTTTTATGTTATTCACATATTTCTTAAAATTTTCTCACCTATACAACAGTAGTATAATTGTTTATGATCATATTTTATTTCATTTACCCAAAAGAAAGGAATCCAAAAGCTAAATTATTTTCTGGTTTGATTTTATATTTCTTTCTTTCTTCTGTTGGTTGTGGGGCTTGAACTC